CGGAGAGAACTGCTGAGGTCATGTTGTCTCTTACTATCCCGTGGGGATTCCAGAGCCCTCGGGAAGCACTGCTGTAATCCAGCTCAGACTATCCACCAAGTTTTGACAGGCTGCAGAGGAATCACCCCTGGCCCCCACTGGGGTGTTTGTCTCCACTTGTGGCTGGGGGTCCACCTGCTTAGAATTGGTCCTACCTTTCTGGGTTCCACTCTGGGTTACCTGACATAAGAGGCCCAGGGGTCACATGCAGTGGACATTCTTAGGTGGTTCTCATGTGCTCTGAAGTGGAGCACCACTCCCTCAGGATTACAGCAGTTGACAGATGGCGCGTTTTCACTCCACTCAGGGTAGTTTGAATATAATTGGCCTTCATAATCTCATAGGGAGTGGCACTATTAGGAGGTGTGGCTTTTTGGCGCGGGTATGCCCTTTGTTGAAGGAAGTGTGTCATTATGTGTGTGTAGGGCCTTTGCGGCTTCCTGTGCTCAGGATACCACCCAGCCTCAGTCTACTTCCTGTTTCCTTCTGATCAAGATGTAGCCAGCACCATGTCTGCCTGCACACTGCCATACTGCCTGCCATGAGGATAATGGACTGAACCTCTGGTCTGTAAGCGAGCCATCCCAATGAAATGTTTGCCTTTATAAGAGTTGCTGAGGTCATGATGTCTCTTCACAGCAACAGAAAATCCTAACACCCGCTTTTCTGTCCCACACCCCCACTTTGCTGGAACAGTGGAGCCGACACCTGTCCACTGCAAGTCATGTCAGCATCTTGAGACTGTCCATAAAAAGTTCCCATCAATAAAATTAGAAGCCCACTGACTATTCCTTTTGCTGCAAAAATGAGTGCCTCTAGAGAGGGACTCCCGCAGAGAGTCACCTCAGAGAGGCAGCCCAGAAGGAGGCTTGCAAGATGCCAAGCTGTGAGGCAGGCATCTCGCCGGCAGAGGCTCCTCTCCAGGGAGTGAAGTGCATCCTCCAAGGGCCTCAGCCACTGCAGTTGGAAACGTGACATGTGTACCACTTCTGCAGAGCTAACCCGAGCACTTGACATTTCCAGAGGCTCGGAGAACCCTTGCTGTTCTTGTTGGTCGGGGAACTGTGCCAGGAATTAGAATATTGGTAGAGTCTCAACTGCGTGTCAGTGTGATGAGCCGGCATGGCTAATGACTCCATAGAGTGATGTGTTTTAGAACATTCAAAGGGCTGCCGCACAGTCTGGGGCCTGTGTTGCCAAAAAGTAACATGATGTGGGCACAGAAGGATGACACCATTTTCCTCCTTAAAACTGAAAACAATAACAGAGCCTGGACTAAGAAAGGGACACATGGCAGTATGCCTCCACCTCCTGGGTCCTAACCTGGGCTATTCATCTGTATGTGGTAGTATGCCTCCACCTCCTGTGGTCTAGTCTGTGCTATTTGTCTGCATGTGGTAGTATGCCTCCACCTCCTGTGGTCTAGCCTGTGCTACTTGTCTGCATGTGGTAGTATGCCTCCACCTCCTATGGTTTTTAGCCTGGGCTATTCATTTGTATGTGGCAGTGTGCCTCCACCTCCTGTGGCCTAGACTGGGTTATTTATCTGCATGTGTTAGTATGCTTCCACCTCCTGTGGCCTAGCCTGGGCTATTTGTCTGCATGTGGTAGTATACCTCCACCTCCTGTGGCCTACCCTGGGCTATTTGTCTGCATATGGTAGTATGCCTCCACCTTCTGTGGCCTAGCTTGGGCTATTTGTCTGCATGTGGCAGTGTGCCTTCAGCCCCTGCAGCCTAGCCTGGGCTATTTATCTGCAAGTAGCTGTCAAAGCTTTCATCTGGTCTGTTCAGCCCTGTCAGCCCTGCTTAAAGGCTCCTACATGGAGCCATCATCTCCAGCTGAGCATCTTAGCCAATCATGTGTCCATGGAAGGACCCCTAGGGGTTGGGTCTAGACTTACCTCAGCTCAGAATGTTCTGGAAGGGGGAGAAGAGATTGCTGTAAGATTCTGGGAAGGCTTGTGGCAAGCTATCTTTCAAGCTTTATAGCCCTCTCTGACTTTGAGGTATAGTTTATGAGAAGGTAATACAGCGTTGGGGACCCCAATGGTGTCTTTGGGTTCAGGACAAGGTCACAGACCTAGGACTCCATCAGTAAGAGTGCACAGTGCAGGTGCCTGAATTCCCTAACCCGCCTGGGCTAGGCTTCCATCCTCCACCTCAGGGTGAGTTTTGTTTCTGTAAGTGAAGAGTATCAAGTTCATTCTTTTTCTGGGGCACAAGGCAGGCATACTTGCATCTTCAAGATGATGGTTTTGGGGTGAGGGGCTGATGAGAGGCTGATAGCCCAGGAGGGTGGGGCAAATTAGTACTGGTATGTGGAGGTGGGCCTGTGACTATGGGACGAGCTTGGCCCCCTTTTCTTTATCTCAGTCTTTATTTCCTTGCTTTGGTCATGCGCCTGCCCTACTCTTCCCTCCTCCATGGAAAATGCAGTAACAAAACTGTGTTGATGCTGGCCTCCCCAGCCTCCAGGACAGTAGGTCAGCATGCTTCTGTCACTGTAAATTATTCTGTCTGTGGCACTCTGATACAGCGGCATGGAATGGACTACATTGCCCGGCTGGGTCCTGCTAGAGGTGGCAGTGGCTGAGGGGAAATGTTGTGGAATAATCATTTTGTACACTTGAATATGTGTCTTTGCCAAGGTGCCTTCTGATTGGTTTAATAAAGAACTAAATAGCCAATAGCTAGATAAAAAGTGTAGGTGGGACTTCCAGGCAGAGAGGACTCTGGGAAGAAGAGAGGCAGAGAAGCCAGCCAGACACGGAATGAGTCAGACACACAGAATGGAACAGAGGTAATAAAAACTATTTTTACTAATCTACATTTTACCATGTGATATTTCCCCTTTTTATCTAAATAAAAAATGAAAGGGTTTAACTCTAATACAGTAAAACTATATATAATAAGAATAATTACCAGGTAAGAACTATAGTCACAATGTCCAGTCCATTTGCATTTGGCAAATCCAGAGAAAATACTCCATTATCTATCCTATTTTGGTGAGTCCAAAGTTTTATACCTAATTCACTTACTATCTTAGCTTGTATTACCAACCCAAAACTATCATTTTAGACCTCAAATAATTTTCTTAGATAAAACAATTTAAGCTCTTATACCTCTCAACCTTATATACTTACACCTCTTTTGTGAGTTTCTTTTCTGAATTTGGTAACAAATAGAACTGTAACTGTAACTATCTAGTCTTCAACCCCATCAGAGACCTGAGAAGGATAAAACATTACCTGAGTAAACAGGAAGTGCAGAGCAAACAACTTCTGAAACTATAATAATGACAGAGACATTTGGCTGCCTGGTCAGTCACCCAAGTTTCCTCTGCAATGTTGGGGCATTCATCTTCAGCTTACAGGCCTAGAATATCTGACAGACTTTTCTGTGAAGCAGGAATTTTGAAGGAATGTCCTACCTTGTCTTGACAAAGTTAGGCAGTCACTTTCTTTTATCCTACTTATCCAGTTTGGACAGCATACTGTCAGCAGTCAAGGCAAGAGCAGTTTCTTGCCCAGTGGCTAGCTTTACCACATCGAAAGCAAATTCAATGTGCAAGTTCTTCAATGCATATCATCCTTTTTTGAGGTAAATTGATGCTGCCAGGAGTAGATGTGTCTCACTGTTATGAAAACCCTTAGGTTATTAAGCATCTTAAATGCCATATTCTATAGATCTTTGAAGTGTTCCAAGACCATCTGCTATCTAAAATGTATCTGTTTAACCTTAAAAATATACCTGACTACAAGTTTGATTATTATAGATGGCTATTTTAAATAGTTTGTAATAATAGCCTTTAAGGACTAGAACTTTACATTACATTCTAAAATTAACTGCATAGGTACAATATCTTAAACAAGAGTAGAAATATCTGTCTATCTATCTATCTACCTATCTATCTATAAACTAAAATAACCTTAAATGTGTATCAATACATAAAAGTATATACCAGTGTAAAATATTTGAAATTAATAGTTGCTTGTTAGTTTAATGTAGATTCAATAATCTTCCTTTCATCCTATCATTCCTAGCACCCCCAGAGATGATCAGGACCTTTCATTGAACTCCATGCCTCCCTTTCTGCTTGGATGACAGGGTACTTGACTTTGACTCTGCTCTTGGGAAACTGAGTTGAGGAAATGACCCAATTATAGCTGTTTGTTCCTGAAGTTAACAGCCCAGCTTGATCACGGGACTCTGTTGACTGGGATTTGCCAGGAATTCAAGGTCTTTCCTAGAGGACTATTGGGTAGATTCCCTCTTCATCTGTGCCTGGAGTTTGGTGTTCTGCAGTCTCAATGTGGAGAACATGGGTGTATCAGGCAAAGGCCTCCCTAACTGAACACACCCTTGACAGTTGTGAGCATGCTGGGTTAGTCTAGCTACACAGTGAAGCCAGGGCAGTGCAATAGTGCTGCTGCCTGACCTGGAGGAGGGCTAGCCCTGACCTGGAGGAGGACTAGCCTTGAGCCCTGACCTGGAGGAGGACTAGCCCTGACCTGGAGGAGCACTAGCCCTGAGCCCTGACCTGGAGGAGGGCTAGCCCTGAGCCCTGACCTGGAGGAGGGCTAGCCCTGAGCCCTGACCTGGAGGAGGGCTAGCCCTGACCTGGAGGAGCACTAGCCCTGACCTGGATGCAAGATCAGAATTCTCAACTGAACACAACTTGGCCTCCCTTGTGTTGGAATTGTAACGTTTTCCAGCAATGGCTTCGGTTTGGGAATCCAGGGTTGGGTGGCCCCAGGTTTGGGGGCCATCGTGGTAATCTCCCTTAAGAATAGCTTATGGAGCTTTAGAAGAAGCCTAGAGCAGGGATGCTGGGAGAGCTAGGACATTACAGACAAGGTCCTGGAAGCCATGAACCATAAAACTAGCCCACTGCCCTGGGAGGAACATTTGATTGCAGTTGGGGGAGCTGATTTCTCTCACAGTGGTGTCTCTTCACAGGTGAAGCTGGTGGGGCGAAGGTTCAGCATCAAAAGGAGAACATCATGATTTTCACAAGTGGTCCCTTGTTTTCACACTAACAGAGTAAAAATTGGAATCAAATCAGGAAAGGGAAGACCTCAAGCACAGTTTCAAATTCCTTGGAGAATCAGGTAAGAAGGAACCTGTGTCACCCGGCCCGTGGGCCAGGTGTGGGTGAGGGTGAGGGTGCAGCAGAGCAAGGCTGCCATCAGCCTGCAGCACTGTGGAGAGCACAAACACTTGAGAGCACTTGACCTTTTCAGTGCAGAGTTATAGAATCAGAGGGGGAGGAGAGTGACGCTTGACGTGGTGAAGAGTCAAGGTACCATCAGGGTGGATTCTGCTGAAGTGGCTCCTGTCTGCATCCCACTCCAACCTGATTCTCGGGAGGGGCTGACACCACTGTAACTCGTGACCTAAGATGGCAGTTGCCCAGTGGTCATAGACTGCTGTCACTAGGGTGAGCTAAGAAAAGTCGTAAGAACTCAGTGAGTACCATTGTCACCAGAAGAAGCCAGAATCACTGACATCTGCTGAGCTGTGATCATTGTTAACTGCGTGAGCTGGACAAAGTTAGCTGGGGTGCTGAGAGCCACTGCTGCCCCGAGGAACCAAGAACATGGTTGTCTGGGTGAGCTCACACTACTGTTACTTGGGGGAATGGATACGACTGTCACCTGGAGGAGCTGAGAACCACTGTTACCTGTGGAGGTGAGAACACTGGCATCTGGAAGCTAAGGATGCTGGTACCTGGGGTAGGTGAGAATACTGTTTCTTGGGGGAACTGAGAACAGGTGAGAAAACTAGAGTGGGAGGAGGTGAGAACACTGTTACATGGGGGAGGTGAAACACAGATATAAGGTGGGATGTGAGAACACCAGTACTTGGGGGGCAGGAGAGTAAGTGGTAAGTGTGGTGTGTGTGAAAACAGTGTTACCTCAGGGAAGTGAGAAGACTGGTACATAGCAAGTGAGAACATACACCAGGGGTGGTAGATCACCAGGCCCTTGTGGGATGTGAGGACATTAGTACCTGGAGGAGGTGAGAACATCCATACCTGGGAAGTTTAGAACACTGGTATCTGAGTGATAACAGACCTGGGGAAGGGCGAGAACACTGGGACCTGGGTGAGCTTCGAAACCATTACCCAGTGTGCTGAGAACTATCGTTGCCTGGGGGAGCTGAGAACACTTATTGCCTGAGTGAGTAGATGCAACTGTTACCTTCAGGAGCTGGGATCCACTGTTACCTGGTGGAGGTGAGAACGCTGGTGCTTGGGGAGTGGTGAGAATAATGTTATGCTCTCTCTCTCTCTCTCTCTCTCTCTCTCTCTCTCTCTCTCTCTCTCTCTCTCTCTCTCTCTCTCTCTCTGTAATAATAATACTGCTACCTAGAGGGGGAGGGTAAGAACATTGGTACCTGGGCAGGAGGTGAGAACAGTGGTACCTGGTGAGCCAGTAAAACTGTTTGGGTGAGTGGATGCTACTGTTACTTAGGAAAGTGATACAACTTTAATCTGGGTCATCTGAGAACCAGTTACCTGAGTGAGCTGAGATATTGTTACTTGGAGGAGCTAAAGCCACTGTTGCCTTGAACAGTTAAGAACCACTCCTGTCTTGGAGGGGGTTACCACCGTTATCCCAGTCAGATGAGACTATTGTCGCCTGGAAGCCTGAGGAGCACTTTTACCTGAGCAGTGGAGACCACTGTTAACAGTGCTGAGGTCACTGTTAGCCAGTGAACAGAGAACAGTGTTACATGTAGGGGTCACTCAGTTATCTGAGTAAGCTGAGATATTGTTACTTGGAGGAGTCCTGGCCACTGTTACCCGTATGTGCTGAGGACCATCATTACCTGTCTGAGATGAGAACCATAGCTGACCCTCTGGGAAGTGAGACCTCCATTACTTGGGTGAGTTAAGAACCATGTTAACTGGGTGAACAGAACTGTGTTACACAAAGAGCTTGATAACCATGTTACCTGGTTGGGGGGGGGGTGCTGAGACATCCATTGTCTGGGGGAGCTGGGAGACTTCCATTATCATTTCAATGGTGATCTGAGGTCATTATTACCTTGTGATGCTGAGACCACTGTTAGCTGGGGGAGTTGAAAATGGTGTTATATGGAAGAGCTGAGACCACTGTTATCTGGAGGAGTTGTGATCATTGTTACAGGGTGAACTGAGACCATCTGATACCTAAGCAAGAGAAACAGTTACTTACCATGGTGAGCAAAGATAGCCTTTATCTCGGAGAGCTGGGAACCATTGTACACAGAGATCAGAGACTGCTGTTATCTATAGGAGCTAAGATCATGTGACCTGGGTGAACTGTGACCCTGTTCCATGGGTTATCTGAGACTACTGTTGTCTGTGTGAGCTCAGAATCAGAGCTACCTAGGAAAGCAGAGCCTCCCATCACTTGGGTGAGCTGAGGACCACAGTTAGCTGGAGACCAGGCAACCACTGTCATGGGTGAGCTGAGAACTGCTGTTACCTAGAGACCAGGGAAGCATTGCTCTGGGTCACATGAGGATGACTGTTACCTGGAGACCAGGGAAGAGTTGTCCTGGGTCATATGAGGATGACTGTTACCTGGAGACCAGAGAAACATTGCCATGGGTCAGAAGAGGACCACTGTCACCTGGAAACCAGGGAACCACTGTCATGGATGAAGAGAGAACTGCTGTTTTCTGGAGGATCTGAGAACAACTATTACATGGGGGAGGGGCAGGTACTAGCTTGGGAGGGGATAACATTCTTACTTAGAGGATTAGACTCAGTGTTGCCTGAGTGAGCTGAGACCATTGTTACCTGGAAGATCTGTGACCACTGTTATCTGGGTGAGTTGAGAAGCAGTACCAAGTGGATGATCTGAGAAGAGTATCACATAGGAGTATTGAGATCACTGTTGCCTTTGGGAGCTGTGGTCATGGTTACATGGGTAAGCTGAGCCACTGTTGCCTGGGGGAACCAATACTGCTGTTACCTGGTACTGTGAGCACTACTGTGACATTGTGAAGTAGACGTTCCTTTCTGCATGGGAAGCCAGAGAACTACTGTTAATGGTTGGACTGAGAACCACTGTTATCTGGGAGAGGTGGTATTACTGTCACTTGGGTAGATGGGATTACTGTTACCTGAGAAAGCTGAGAAAACTTACCTTGGAGATGTGGTAACTCCAATGATACCAAAGTGAGCTGACAACTGATGTTATGTGAAACCCAGAATCTCTTAGCTGGCAGAGCAGAGAACCACTGTTACCTGGGGAGTCAAGATCATTGATACTTGTGGGATCTAAGAGCATTATTACAAAGGGGTTCAATACCCTTGTTACCTGAGGGATCTGGGGCCATTGTAAGCCTAGGGGATCAAGACCATTGTCCCCTAGCAGATATAAAAGCATAGTTTCTAGGAAATCTAAGATACATGTTACCTAGAGAATAGGAGAACATTGTTACTTACAAATTGGAGAAGATTATCACCTGAAAGATCTAAAAACATTGTAATCAGAAAGATTAAGACCATTTGCCTGAGATATCTGAGAATATTGAAACCCAGAGATCAAGGCCATTGCATCTTTCCTGATCTGAGAATGTTGTTACCTGAGGCATATGAGAACATTGACACCTGGGGGTATCTGAGAAGATTGTAACCTTGGGGAATGAAGACCACTGATACCTAGCTGATATGAGGACATTGTAACTAGTGCAGATCAAAACCATTGTTACTTGGCTGATCTGAGAGCATTGTAACCAGTGGGGTTAAAGAACATTGTTAACCTGACTCATCTGAAAACATTGTAATTTGGGGGGAATAATTGCCATTTTTATGTGAATTGAAAACATTGTAACCTGGAGGGGAAGCAAGACCATTGTAACCTTATGATCAGAGAATATTGTTATGAGTGTGTGTGGGGGATAAAGACAATTATTACCTGGGTGGTCCGAGAACATTACAATCTTGGAGGATCAAGACCATTGTTACTTGACTGACCTGAGAACATTGTAACCTGGGAGAATCAAGACTTTTTTCCTGACTGATGTGAGATCAGTGTAATCTTGGGACATAAAGACCACCGTTACCTGGCTAATATAAAAACATTGTATTCTGGGAGAATCAAGTGTGTTACAGCTCTGAAGGAAAAGGTATCCTGGCAGTCGGAAGTCAAGGATTACCTATAGCTCAAAAGGGAAAGGTATTCCAACAGAAATGTTACGGCTCTGTTCTGGTGGGGGACAGCTTCCCCAGCGGAAGTGTTACAGGCCTTGCTCTGGGAAGGGTTTCCCTAATGCAAGTGTAACAGTCTTCTGGAGCAGGGGAGGAGTTCCCCAGCTGGGTTGTCACAGCTCTGCTTCCCAGAAATGTTACAGCTCTGCTCAACTTCCCCGGAAAGGAACAGTTTGCTCCAGCAAGGGAAAGTTTTCCCAGCCAAAGTGCTACAGTTTTGCTGTACTCTAGCTCTGCTCTGCTCCAGTGAAAGTTGTTCCATCTCTGCCCTGCCTTGCTCCCTGGAAAGAAAGTTGTTACTACAAACCTCATTCAAGATTTGTTGGGAGGGAGAGTGGCTGCCTCTGCCAGGGTGGCAAAGGGGCAGCCCAAAACTGAACAGGTGCAGGGCTCATGTAGGATTTCCTAGGGGCGGAGCTTCCCAAGAGGGAGATTTTCGGGGTGGGGATTGGTAGGATTTCAATTCCTAAGTTTGGGACAAGTTCAGAGATTGGTTGGATTTCATACTCAGAGATTGGTTGGACTTCAGTTCCTGAATTGGTTAGGGACAGGGTGTGTTTCTTTGGCTCTAGTGTCAGGTTATCTTTCACTGGCCCTTTTTACCCTATATCAAGAACACCGTTACCTGATTGATCTGAGGGCATTGTGACTTTGTGGGGAAAAGAACATTGTTACCTGGCTGATCTGAGAACAGTGTAACCTTGTGGGATCAAGACCATTGTTTCCTGATTTGAAAACATTGTAACCAGGGGGTGGGGGTAGGGAATCAAGGCTATTGTTACCTTACTGATCTGAGAACACTGTGACTTGTGAGCACCAAGACAATTGTTACCCCATTTGAAAACATTTTAGCCTAGAAGGAATCATGACCATTTTATTTGATTTGAAGATATTATAACTTGGAGGAGAATACAGACTATTGTTTTCTTGTGATCTGAGAATATTGTTATATGGGGGTGGGGGGGAAAGACAGTCATTACCTGGGTGATCTGAGGACATTGTAACCTTGGAGAATCAAGACCATTGTTACCTGATTGATCTGACAAAAGTGCAAGCTTGGAGCATAAAGACCATTGCTATCTGGCTGATCTCAGAACACTGTAACCTGGGAGAATCAAGACCATTGTTACCTGAATGATATGAGAATATTGTAACATGGTGCTCAAGACCATTATTAACTTACTTATTTGAGAACCTTGTAACCTGGGGGGAGGGGGATAAAGGCCTTTGTTACATGGCAGGTCTAAGAATGTTGTAACTGGGTATTAAGAACATTGTTACATGATTTCCTAACATTGTAACCTTGAAGAGTCAAGACTATTGTTACCTGGTTGATCTGAGAACATTGTAAACTTGGATATCAAGACAGTTGTTACCCGACTGATCTGAATACATTATCACCTGTGGGAATCAAGACAATTGTTTCATGTTTGATCTAAGAATATTGTAACCTTTGGGAGAGGATAAAGACAATTGTTACCTGGCAGACCTGAGAACAATGTAACTTAGGGGAATCTAGGTCAATGTTATCTGGCTGATCTGAGGACATTATAACTTGTGTGGTTAACGATCATTGTTATCTGATTGATATTAGAACATTGTAACCTTGAGGGATCAAGACCAATTTTACCTTACTGATCTGAGAACTTTGTAACTGGAGGGGATCAAAACCATTTTTACTTGGCTCATCTGAAAACATTGTATCTTGGAGGATAAAGAACATCATTACCTGGCTGCTCTGAGAACACTGTAAACTAGGAGAATTGTGGTGATATATTGTATACCCTAATAAAATTTGCCTGAAGATCAGAGAGACAAAGGAGCAAGCTACTGCCATGTTTTACCTCTAGGACACCTCAGCTTGAAAAGGCTTTAGTTCCTGTCTCCTTTCTCCACCCAGCCATCACTTCCTTCCCAGTGCTGGGATTAATGGCATGTGTACTTCCCAAATACTGAGATTAAAGGTGTGGGATCTCAAGGACTGGGATTAAAGGAATGTGATACCCAAGTACTGGGATTAAAGGTGTGTGTCACCACTGCCTATCTCTGTTTCTCTTCTAGACTGAGTCAATCTTATGTTTTCCAGGGTGACTTTGAACTCACTGAGTGCTAGGATTAAAGGTGTGCCATTACTACCTGGCATCTATGTTTAATCTAGTGGCTTGTTCTGTTCTGTGATCTTCAGGGAAATTTTATTAGGACACACAATATATCACCACAGAGAATCAAGACTATTGTTATCTGTCTGCTCTGAGAACATTGTAATTTGTGGGGATCAAGACTATTGTCACTTGGCTGCTCTGAGAACATTGTAATTTGTGGGGATCAAGACTATTGCTGCTTGGCTGATCTGAGAACATTGTAATCCTGGAGGATAAAGAACATTGTTACCTGGCTGCTCTGAGAAATTGTAATTTGTGGGGATCAAGACTATTGTTGCTTGGCTGATCTGAGAACATTGTAATCCTGGAGGATAAAGAACCTTGTTGCCTTGCTGATCTAAGAACATTGTCACCTTGGGGGATCAAGACCATCATTTCCTGATTTGAAAACAGTTTAACCTTTGGGGAATCAAGACCATTGTTACCTAACTGGTCTGAAAACATAGTATCCTGGGGTTATCAAAACTTTTTTTACCTGATTGATCTGAGAACACTGTAGCCTTGCTGGGGATGAAGGTCATTGTTACTCAACTGATCTGAGAACATTGTAACTCATGGGGCTAAAGAATATTTTTTCTTGGTTTATCTAAGGATATTGTAACTTGTGAGGATTAAGGCCATTGTTTTACTGTTTTGAAAACAGTTTAACCTTTGGGGATCAAGATTGTTGTTACCTGACTGGTCTGAAAACACTGTATCCTGGGGTTATCAAAACCTTTTTTACCTGATTGATCTGAGGACATTGTAACTGATGGGGTTAAAGAGTATTTTTTCTTGGTTTATCTGAGGACACTGTAACTTGTAAGATCATTGTTACTTAGCTGAGCTGAGAACATTGTAACCTTGGGGGGGGGGGCTCGGATCAAGGACATTGTTATCTGTCTGAACTGAGAACA